CTCTCTGTCAGCTCCAGTGCAGTATAGCATAGCCTGTGTGATTTAAAACTTAAAAATTCAAAATATAAACCCCTGAACCTCTCATGTATTATATACTTCAGGGCTCAGAGATTGAGTGAGCATCTCAATATAAGTACGTAGGAAAAACAATTGACGACTCACTCTCGTCTACACCTCGCATTCAGTTAAAAAATTGAAATTGAAACTTGGTGTTTACTTTCCTGTCTATCTGTTTCTGGCCAGAAAGACTTTTATGTCTCTGTTTGGTTATGGTGATGTGATTTATATACATGGGTCCCCAGAATGCTTACATATCCTGCATTCTGTTTATTCTGGAACGATGGGATTTATTACAAACTTTAAGACTTTTACTCACCCCTGTGCATTGTATGCTGAGCTTGAGTGGTCTGCTTTGTCATGTTGTAGATTCAGCTACTATGTATATTTATATGTAGATTTTTTATTTATAAGGCTATTTTTGGTTTGCTTCTTATATACTGACTTATATTAATCAGAAATTGTGGGAAATTGTTGTCCTGGGTTCCATGTTTCACCACTTTGTCTGTCCCAGAAGTTCAAATGGAATTTGGAAAAGGAGAATTCAAATTTCTCACTCCTAAATTAAAACTTAAGACACTTAATTAATGCTGCAGTTTGTGGGGGGAGACAGTGTGTGGGTGTGTGAGGACCCAGGTGCAGACACAGGCGAGGAGACCACAACTAACTTGAACAAAACGCGCGCCTTTTATGACGGCTGATAATCAGGTCAACAAAACAAGGCAGTAAGCACAGAGGCAAAACAAGACTGGAACCTACACTGGGAAAACTGAGGAAACAGACTTAACTATGATAACTAGGAAGACAATAACAAGGAGACCGCGATGACTATGAACAGGACTTTGTGCAGGAACATGAAGGAGCAATGAACTCATACATGAATAGGCAACATGACCATGACCTGCACAGAGTCCTGAAACCTGACATGACATGATGGGTGGAACAAGGACGACGGGACACTGAACACAGGAAGACAGAGGACTTTAATACATACATGAGGTGATATGGGGAAGTGGAGACATGTGAGGAAACAGCTGACTAGAACAAACCAAATGACACCACATTGGAAGTGAAACTAAAGCAATGAACAATGAACACCCTTCAAAGTAAAACAGGAACCCTAAATAAGACAAAAGTGACATGAGCTTGACAACATGAACTACACAGACAGGAGACATGACAGATAAGACTCACAAACCTCTAAGGAAGAATTAACACAGGGATGAGACACAAGGGGAGTCCAATAAACCATAAAATATAACTGGAAGTAGGTATGACAGAATGTAACTAGATAAGCTGAAAAGAAACTAGAATACAGATGAATAACAAAATATCATGAAACTTAGAAACACTGGGTCACATGACTCAGGACCATGACAATTAATTTAAGTTCATTTTAGATAATGTGAATGACTAGTTTTGCCTGAATGGCATCCAACTGTCACGGCGCAGCCTGAGTGTTGGTATGAGGACCCAAGTGCAGACAGGGAATAATAATGGATTGCATTTATACAGCGCTTTTCGGGACCCCTCAAAGCGCTTTACAATACCACTATTCATTCACTCTCACATTCACACACTGGTGAAGGCAAGCTGCAGTTGTAGCTACAGCTGCCCTTGGGCAGACTGATGGAGGCGAGGCTGCCATATCACGCCATCGGCCCCTCTGGCCATCACCAGTAAGCGGTAGGTGAAGTGTCTTGCCCAAGGACACAACGGCTGAGACTGTCCGAGCCGGGGCTCGAACCGGCAACCTTCCGATTACAAGACGAACACCCAACTTTTGAGCCACGATTGCCCTAAGGTACTAAGGTTAAACAAAAAGCGAGCCGTTTATTACGGCTGATACACAAGTAGAAAATAAAGCGAAAGGCGAACAGGGGCAAAAACGAAACTAAAACCTAAACAGGGAAAACTAAACTGGTAACTATGACAACAGGCGTGAACATGATTGTGAACAGGAACGTGTGAGAAACTATAACGAGGAAAATCATGAACATGAAACATGAACACGACCTGAGCAGAATCATGTAGTACATGGAACGGGAAAGAAAACAGTCAAAGGCTACGTCCACACGTACCCGGGTATTTTTGAAAACGCAGATTTTTCTATGCGTTTGCACCTTTCGTCCACACGTAAACGGCGTTTTTGGTCACTGAAAACTGAGATTTTTAAAAACTATTTTTGAAAACTCTGTTTTTGCATTTACTTGTGGACGAGAAAAACGGAGAAAATGCCTTTACGTGTGGACGGGTTTATTTTTTAAAACGAAAACGGAAAATCTCCGTTTTCAAAAATACCCATGTGGACGTAGCCAAAGACTGAATGAAAACACACAGAAGGGTAATGAGGGAAGTGGAAACACCTGGGGAGACATGGCTGACACAAATGAACATAATAAGTCCACAGGAGAAGAGCAAAACTAAGCACATTGAACATAGGACCACAAGACTTTCAAAATAAAACTGGAATCACGGAGAGATGTAGACATAATAACACCGACTACATGACACACACAGACAACAAATACATGACATATTGTCACTGAAGACAAGAAAAGACTTTTAAATCAGGAGTTATAGAAGAACTAGAAACTCAATTCAATCCTAAGTAACAATAGCAACCAAAGAACTTAACACATTCCACATATCAAAATACAAAATAAAACTCAAAATGCTGGGTTACAGACCCAACTCCTGACACCCAACATTGTATCAGTATATAAATGACAGAAAATTAGTAAAACCACAATTGTCCCCTTTCAATGTTAATTCATTTTTTTGGATTAGCTGTCCTGCCGTGGTTATTCTTTTGACCAAGGTCGCTTCTGCTTTGCTGTAAGTGCAGTAATTTACTTGATAAATGTGCAAAAAGCTTACATAAATGAGGCAATTTTTAAATGTAGTTCTTGGCTTGGCTTCAAAGTTATAGACTGAGGGAACATATTAGCACAGAAAAGAACAGTCTAACCAGCTAATGAACAACTTGACTGATTTACTGATTCACTGACCGACTAACTAGCCAGCAAACAGTCTGCAAACGCAACCAAGACAGAAATAGAGAGAAGTAATGAAGGAAAGTGGAGAGACATTTAGATAAACTCTGTTTTTTTTTCCTCCGAGAGGCTCCAGTTAGTTTCATTTCTATAACAGCAGCACATACACAAACAGAATATTCTCTCGTTCAAACACACCTCAACACAGACAGTGCTGTTGATTGTGTATTGCCGGTTTGTTTATTAGCTCGCTGATTGAGCAGCTCTGCCTTCTACAGATTGGATGACCTTTCCAGATCCTTCCGTCGAGTCTGCTAAGTAGATCGGACGGCGAACGCAACTCGACGCGACAACACTTTATTCAGATTGTTACTGAATGAGGAAAAAGCAGGCGGTCATATGTGTGTATGTGTGCACATTGGGCTGTTTGTACACACTCACTCTGCCTTCATTGGTTCAATTGAGGCCTCATCTCCATATAGTTTGTATGCAATTACATCTGAGCGGCGCTCTGAGTGCCTCTATATGATTGTGTCTGGATACCGAGTGCAACTAGCTGTGGTGTGTGTGTGTGTGTGTGTGTGTGAGAGAGAGAAGGATAATTTGTGAGAAAGAGCAGCGAATCATGCTCCATGTGTGAATATGTTTGTTTTTGTGTGTGAAGCAATTGATGGTCAATTTGTGCGCATGTGTGGCTTTATGGGAACATTTGTGCGAGCTTGATAGGAGTGTGTGTATGAGGGGTAATTTGTGCCAGAGAAAAGCAATTCGTATTAAATGTGTGCGTCAGGTTTTATGGGTGATCTGTGTTAGTGAAATGTTTGTGTGTATGTACATTTATATGCATACACATGTACGTGCCGTTTCATAGATGCGTATGTATGTTGTCAGCTGACGCGGAGGATAAGTATGGAGAGTGTTTCTAGTGGCTTGCTGAATGCTTGCAGGGCTTTAAAGGGCACGTCCGACAAACCGCGCCACGTTCGAATCTCCTTCATCTGCAATAAACAGCTAATCATACTCAGTGGAAGATGATCGCACTCAGACCGCCGACTTCATCATGCACACACGTTCTGTTCGCTTTCAAGAAGGCTCACTGTGTTACCTTGATTCTGGTCATCTTGGTCTTTATATAAGACAGGGTATTTGTACGTTGTAAGAAGCACTGAATTAAGTTCACCTTAGAATGTATTAAAAAGTCTTACGCTCGAGGGGTCTTTGCAGAAGTCCTAAACCAGAGAAAGGCAGGAATTTTTCATGGAAAACCTGCAATTCAGCAAACTGAGAACATGACATACATAGACATAGTGTTAATTTGTAACATTACAGATTATTTGACATTAGACTGTTTACCAGCATAGGGTCTACTTTTATTTATTTTTAAATTCTATGGATGGTTTTATTCATTTATTTATCTAATCGACTAAAACATAAAACATAAATTTCCGTGTGGCATTAAAAGTCTTCATTTTACAGTGCAGAAACCTATTAACAGTGTATTGGACGACATCTTAAGGGAATTTTATAATAACTATAAAACAACATCATCTCAAGATTCAGCAGTAGTGCAAAAATATTCTTTAAAAACCCTTTCATTTCAGCGTTAAATGTCACAAATTATTCTCTCAAAACAGTTAAAAACATCTCAAAAGAAGCTGCTAATCAAACCTGTAAGTTGCATTTTTCATTGCAAAGAGGTATTTTAGTTTCTTTTCTTGCATTAATATTCTTATATTGATTGTTATGAAGCCCTTTGAACTATCATCAGCATCCACAGCATATCGTGGAAACAGCATATCAGTCCTCATTGGTTATAGCAAGGTACAACTAACAAACATAACAGAGAATATGTTGATGTGAACGCAATCTCAGAATGAACCAAAGAAGTGTAAGAAATAATTCAGTCTGGGTAATATATACCCCTGTGTTCTGCTTTGTTTTCTCCAGGCGGAGCAGACCACCAGTCAGTGCGAAGCCCAGCGAATGGCCTTAGAGCAGATGGCTATCAAACTAAGCAGCCTGCAGTACCCCTCACCCACCAACAGAAGGCGCTGCAATCACCTGGCCAGGAACAACAGGTAACTGCACAACAGGAAACAACAGAATAAGTGATCAGTAATTTTCTGTTAGCTTCCATAATTGCTTTACAGTGCTCCATCCATCCATCCATCCATCCATTTTCATCCGCTTTGTCCGGGGCCGGGTCGCGGGGGCAGCAGCCTAAGCACTTTTGTTCACAGCACAGTGCTCTATTTTGTAAAACAAATGCATGTCTACTATGGGAGGACATGTTAAAACTTCCCCACATCCCTCATGTACACACACATTCGTGTAGTGCTAATTATGACGCATACACTCAGAATCAAATTGGTAGAGTATTCATTGACCTCCTGGGCTACAGTTCATCCACCACTAGGCTACCGTATTTTTCGGACTATGAAGTGCAATATTAATCAACAGGTCTATTTTCATACATAAGACGCATTAAGCGAAACAAAACATGACTGAAAGCCTTGAGTTTGAAATCCGCTTCGTAAGCATGTCTCTTAATAGGTGCCATTCTGGGGTCCTTATACACACAGAGTAATATTATGTTGAAGCACAGTAACTCCGCGAGGCTCCTGACTACAGTAGCCGTAATGCTCCGACAATCCATCATGCGGTGCAGTTTCGTGGCTTACCAAAGTCGTACTAACACATTTTCACAGATTTTTGAGCGCCGTGTACCACATAAAATCGGTTCGAGGTCAGTAAGCACAACCAGAATTAATACATAAGGTGCACCGGATTATAATGCGCACTGTCAATTTTTGTGAAAATTAAAGGATTTTAAGTGCGCCTTATACTCCAAAAAATACGGTAATTTAGCAAACTGGTTAACAAACCTCAAACCTGCTGCATGACTAGGCTGAGGATCTTCATTCTTGGGGTTATGAGAATCAGACGGTCTCTCTATATAGAATTTAAAAGTTATCAAGCCAGGATAACAACAGCTCCCTACTTTAGAGGTGATCCCTGAGATTTTAAGAGAAGTCACAGGGATCAATGCAAGTACTACAGAACCGTAAGACACTAAGCCACCACTTTAAACCATCAGTTTAATGTGTTAATTTAGTGTAATATAGGCTCGAGCTTATCCCAACTAGGACCAAATGTGCACTACACCCTGGACAGGACACCACCAATTCTGTGAACAGTGAATATAAAGTTTTTGCATGTAAAACTTTATATTCAGCCATGTATTTTGAAAATTACCCCAAGCTTCTGTGTCCATTACTTAAAAAATATATCCTATAGGAGACACATGATTCTTTTCATACACCCTGTAGAAATTCTATGCACTCATAAAACTGAATTTCCCTCCTATGGTCAATTGAGGGACAAAGCCTGTGAGCCCAGAAGTGCCAACCATTGTTCAAACTTTCTGTTTGTGATGTGCAGCCAATTAGAAGAAAAGTGGCTCAAAGGGAACAGGAAGTGAGCTAAAACAATGAACTAAGGCCCAATAGGAGACAAACGAGGACTTCTTTCTTGCTGCTCCTGTGTATTCCAAGAATAAAATCCAGGGAGCTGTAAATCATCATAACAGGTCCACTTTAAAGTCCTTTGTTCTGACTTTTAGAAGTTCCACCATTTCATTGGGCCTGTTAAACAAGGTGTTCGAGTTTGTGTGTTGAACGTGCAGAGGACAGAAGCTGCAGAGCGTAATGGAGTGCAAAATAATAAGAGTGAAAACTAGCAGGTCAGTGTTGTCTGTTGTGATAGAAGAGACACAGGCAAACATAACAGACAACACACACATGCAGCTAAATGCAGTCACACACACACACACACAGAGCGTGAGCGTTAACAGCAGTAATCTGGTGTGGCCAGGCTCGGCTCGGCGAGCACCGTGTTTGGTCACGCTGCCTGTCGGCGTTTCATCCCCGGCTTTGAGGAGCTTCTCGCTGCAGTTATCACTCACACACAGGGCGCACACACACACACACACACAAAAAGAAAATGACAACATACACTGAGTAGTGTGTATGCAAATAAAAAAACTGAGGCTTAAATTACTCCCTTTGAGTCTGTAGCATGTTGTGTTCTGCAGACTTTGCGGGTGTTGTCAGTGTGACTTCACGGTGGCTTCCGCGAAGCGTGCGGTGCGTGCGTTGTCTGTGCAAGTGCCACATATACGAATCAAACCCACTGTAGTGCCACTGGACTGTCTTCTACTTGAATTAAATAACAGTTGTTACATGCGCAAGTTGTTTGTGTGCAAAGAGTGAAAACCCACAGCACAAATGTAAATGAAAGCCTCATCTTGTTTGTGTTTTTCAGCCCTCTGAGGCTGCGGCGTAATATTTCAGTAATTTACATTGAATGTGTCGGGCTCTAATTGGTTATTCATATGTTAGCTGTTGCCTTTCACATTTACATTTGGGTATGTGTGAGCGTGTGTGTGCGTGTCTGTCTGTCCAGTGCAGTGGTGTGTGTGATGCGTTTTGTATTAATTGGATGTTACATGTTTTTCTTTGTGAGTTTCATTCTGTTGAGATTTCTGGTTTTGGTTCAGTTGTGAAGAAAATGAAGGTCAGACGGAATTATTCACTAATCTCAAGCAAAATATCTCAATTCTAAATTATTAGCAGAATGAAAGTTAGTAAGGGTGGAAGATATAGATTTTTTGTAGTAACTAAAGTAACTAAAAGTCAATTTTTATTTTTCATATTTCTTATTGTTATGTTCAAAATAATCTAAATGCTTATATAGGAAAGATGAGGCATGTCCAAGCTTCTAACCAATCAGGACATGAAACCTTTCAGAGCAGAAATATATATATATATATACATACATCAAAGTCATACTTTTAATACCAATAAGTACTTTGGTTTCACTTGTTACCTTATTTAACATATTTATATCTTAAAAAGTCCAACATGAATACACGAAGGACTAACATTAGAATTGAAAGCAAATGCATGTTTAACTGAATGACTGAGTGACTTGACTTTGCAGGAATTAATGACTTTGTGATAAAAGAGAAACAGAGAGAGGAATTAGACTTTGTAAATATATGGATGAATGAACTTAATGTAAGAATGAGAAGGACCCTACACAGGTCTGAATCCAGAACCCTCTGACTGTGAGGCAACAGTGATCCCACCTTAAAACTCTGTTATCCAGTTCTACTTTAACCACAGACTTTTGATGGCTGTCTACAACCATTTGGTAGCTGAAGATGGCATTTTAGATCTTTTTCAGGACTAATCATTGTTTCTGTTCAGTTTTTACTATTTGAAACGGTTTTGTTTTATTTCAGTTTTTATTAGCTTCAGTGTTATTTTTAATCATTTGAATTGTTAACGTAATGGAGGGCATACTGTATGTCAGAGGCAAGATTTAGGAAAATCAGTACTGCTATTAAACTGAAATGAGTTGACTCACAGTCTCAATAAACTCGTCCATCAATGCCTCGTCAGGCAAACAGGACTAAGAACATTTCATCTATAGTTTTATTTTATTTAGTTTTCCAAGTTGACGAAATCATTTCAGTTTGTTTATTTTAGTTAACTTAAATTGTTTTTTCACATTTAGTTTTATTTTTTTTAGTTTAGTTTTAGGGAACTTTCCTATTGTACGACGTGTTAGTCAGTGTTTTTAGTCCACAAAAGTCTAAATAAATTAAACTTGTGCACCACGCTCTTTTCCAAGATTAATAAAATAATAAATTAGTGAGTGAATGACTGATTAAGCACCCGGGTTTTGTTTGTGGACAACTTGATTTGAATGTTTCCGTAGGATGAACCCGTTAGCATGGATGAATGAAGAAGTGTGTGAATATCAGCACGGGCCTCTGCGCTGCTCTTCATCGACAGTTCGATTTTAATGTCTCTGTAGGATGAATCCATTAGACTGGGCGAGTGCCAGTGAATCACCTCATAAATCCAGCAGAGTCTCTGACTGAAAGGTGACGGCTGCCAATATGACTCATTCAACCTTTCATTCTATCGCTTCATCCTCCTCTCTTGTCATCCTTTCTTCCTTCACTCCATCGCTCTCTGCGTTCCTCCTCACCCTCTGTTCCTGCTCTTTCCCAGTTGCTCTTCCTTGACCTCTGCTTTGTGTCCTCTTTCTTGGCCTTCTGCTATCTCTTCGTTTCTCTTCATGTTTTTCTCCTGCTCACCTTGCTTTATTTTGCATCCTTTCTCTCAGTGTAACTACTTTGTTGCCTTCCTCTATGCACCACTCCCATCCTCTTCTTTACTTTTATTTATTTAGAATATCTGTCTTCTCATCTTATTGTTACCTTCTCCAGTTTCCTCTTTCTCCATTCCTCTCCTCTTCCTCGTTCTCTCTCTGAGAGCCTTGCCTTCCCTCCTCTTGCCTTATGTCCCTTGCTCTCTTCTTTCTGCTGTATGGAGGATGATGAATTAGAGACAGCAGTTACAGCCGCTATCGGCGTTGCAGCAGCAGGCGGCAGGGAGAGAGAGAAAGGGAAGTAGAAAGTGAAGTATGATAACAAATCTGTCCATTTAAGCCTGAAAGACACCGAGAGTGTTTTAGTTAGCAACAAGGTATCTATCCTGAATCCTGTTTAAAATACAATACTAGTTAAAGAACTTCTCAAAATAATGACACCACAGATCATTAAAATATATATATATATATATATATACATACATAAAAGAGTAAATCAGTAAGAAAGTATTTAAAAATGAAAGATTCCAATATATTTTTTAGGACCCTCATGAAGACATTTTAAGTTTCAGTTGGGTGGACTATCACCTGCTATTTTACACCAATAATCAATAGCAAGGTGTCTCAACAGTGCCTCACGGCCAGATATCGGAGCATTTAGCTGTATATCACCATATAGTTTTATTCAAACAGCTGTGTACAAAATACCAGAAAGGAAAGACAGAAACTCAGAACTTGAAATTTTTACAGGGTTAGTAAACCCTGTAAAATAGAGGACACTAGCTATGTTACAGCAGTTATTTTGAAAAGCATGTATTTCACATCACTCACATAAAACTCAACACTGACTGAAGGACATACGGAAGGAATCTGGAGCTGTGAGGCAAAGAAGTACAGAACTTCAACATCTATCATAGCATCACACAGGAAAATTAACTTGTCCATCTGGTTGTCACAGTGCAGGGGTGTCCAACTCCCGGCCTCAAGGGCCGGTGCCCTACAGGTTTTAGATATCGCCCTGGGTCAGCACACCTCAATCAAATGATCAGTTCATTACCAGGCCTCTGGAGAACTTCAAGACACGTTGAGGAGGTCATTTAGCCATTTAAATCAGCTGTGTTGGATCAAGGACACATCTAAAACCTGCAGGACACCGGGACTCGAGGCCTGGAGTTGGACACTCCTGTCATATTCCCTTCATTGCAGATTGAAGCTGGGCCCAACAAATTCCTTTGCTTAGTGTCTGTGTGCCATTCTCTGTTGTGTTTGGGTAGAAAATAGAAAATACAGACGTATAGGATGTGTAGAGGTCAGTGTTACACTGAAACACATGGCATTTAACTACTTAATCTCATCAGATGCACATTTATTTCATTATTGAAAAATGTCTGGATAGCTAGTGTAGATATCAGTATGTTTTTCCTTGTAGGTTTGCACACTTTCTATCCACATTATTTTTTTATATCCAGTGTTGACTGGAATTATGTTGAGGTAGAAATGAATAATAGATCCTTATAATTCAAATTTCCTCAGGTGACTGAATGTCAGAAAGGCTCTCTATAATACTCTTGTGCTCTCCGTAAGCGCAGTGTGACAGAAAACGAACTTGACACTTCAAACACTCCGTAACCATCCCGGTGTTGAACGCAGCCCCACAGTGGCGCCTCGTCGATCCTTCCTTTCCGATTTGTCTGTTTTCTCGTCTTCCACCCCCCGTGAGATACTGTTTTACAAAGCATTTAGTTAACATTAGTGTGAGAACAAGACGGAAATGGAGGAGAGGAGGGGAGGTGGAAAAACGACAAGAGAAAACAATCTGTACGAGTGTTGTATCTGCTTCATCTGTCTTAGTCAGTAAAGGGCCGCTCTGCTCAGCGCATAATGAGGAACACCGCCTCTGGGGGAAGGAAGCAGCGTTTGCTTGCTTTGCTTTTTTCTCCTCGGTTTAGCTTTTATTTCACGGAGAATCACTTTCAGTGGAGGACAGGAGGTGTGAGGAAAGGATAGGATGAAAATAACAGAAGATCAAGGTGGGGGGAGTTAGGAGGAACAGGTGGAAAAATGTTGGCAAATCTTGTTTTATTTCTCTGTAGCCGTGAGCAGGAAAAGGGAGTTATGAAAAAAGCCGCAGAAGATGAAGAAAACAATTTTTAGAAAGTAAAAACAGAAAATGGGGACAAGTTCGAAATTGTGATGGATATAAAAACCACAGAATAAACTAAGGTCATTTCTGAAAAGTGGGGAACAGGATAAGAACAGAAAGCTTTGGGAACAAGTTTGTGCAAAATAACACAAAATTATTACATGCAAAACTCTCAGTCATGAGGAAAGGTTAAAGTGGTTATTAATCATAAGTATTCTTGAGATGACAGAAGCAATTAACATGATAAATATTTCAGAAAATGCCATAGTTACAAGTTCTTTATGTGTGGGAGCAGAAGTAAACTTTTCCAAGATGCAGGAAGTATAATTTTATTAAGGTTTTGAAAACACATGACCAATAACCACGTGATGCTAACTTGTCCTCCAGTTTGTACATGTGAACATCATGGTGACAGTGTAGCATCAAATGAATAATGCCCAGTCATGCAGGCCTAGAGACTGGTCTGAAACCATATGGCCGGTCTTGAAGGAACAACGAGTATTCTCTGACTGTTTGCGAGTGGTTGCTGGAGTTTGATGCCACACACTGTGAAAATGATTGCTAATGCCCCAGTCACGTAAGGTTGGTTAGTGATCCCCTGGCAAGAACCTGTCCCTGTTTAGGGAAAAAATCTGTATCGCCCAACCAGTTGGAAAAAACTCCCTGTGTTTGGTTGCAAGCATATTGCTGTGGTAGTAGTTTAAATAGAAGTGATGGCCTTGTCTACAGACACTGTTCAGGTACTCTACGACCTGTAGTCAAACAGGTGTCCCAGTCAGGAATTGCCACCTCGCCCCCAACTCCAGTATTCAGGTCAATGATGATTTCAAAATTCGCAGAAGTTATGAAGAGGGAACCTATCCTAAATCCATTTTTTGTGCCAAGCTGTAAATATACATTTAAGGTTGTAAAGTTGGGCATTTTAATATGAAATTGTCACTTCAAACCATTTGAGGCTGGGCCCCAAAAGTGAGTAGAACTGCAGTTTTGTATGCATGTAGCATTGGCTTCATTTTTCAGCTTCAGAGGTTGCCCCTTGATTAAGACTCACTTATTGGCTCTATATTGCAAAACAACAGATGTAAAAATATGTACGTGTATATAATTTCCTCAGGGATTAATAAAGTATTCTGATTCAGGCCCATAAATGCATGCATTCATTCCAAAGATATTAATAGTTTGAATTTTGTAGCTTGTAGGAGACAATGGGAAAGAGTTTTTGTTCTATTTGTTGTTTTTTTCATAATTTCATTCATAGTTTACTCTCCCTACTTTGATGGAACATCAAATTGTAGTGTGTTTCCTTTTTTTAGTGATGAATATGTATGCGGCTTTCTGGGTAACTGTGATTTTCAGTAAGTGTGTGTTTGTGTATTTGAGTGATTTTCATGTGTGTGCTTCAGAGAGCACCTCTTAATGTGTGGTCGCCTTGCCTGGCATGTGTGTGTGCTTGTGTGCGAGTCACTGTGGAAATACTGTGGGTCTGACAGAGCTGTCAAACTGTCGTCGTCAGCGACCGGAGAATTCCAAACAATTTCACCGCTAATGTTGAGAAACATGTTGGCGATCCCCGCCGAGACCGAAAGCCAGTGAATATATAAATAATAAACACACACGCACCTTAACAAAACGGCTGACAGTAATGCGCGTGTTTGAGCAATCGGCCCCTGTTCCAGCAGCATAAATATTTGATGTGATCCTGTGTTGGGAAGGGGGAGGTGAGAGGATGAGTTAGGAAGGGGAAGAGGGAGGTGATAGTGGGAGGAGTGAGCTGAAAAAGGGGAGGGAGAACTAGAGAGTAAGGAAAGGAACGATGTTAAGAGAAAAAAAGGGAGGTAGAAAGATTTAGAGAAAGTGCTAGGAAACAAGAAAAGGAGGAGGAAACAGGAAAAAGAGAGGTGGAGGAGAAATTCTGGGCAAGAGGAGGATGTGGGAGGCAAAGCCATGACATTGAGAGGTCGGAAAAATGAGGTGAAATGGAGAGAGGTGGGGGTGAAATCTGGGATAAGGAGAATGGGGAAGGGAGTGGGAAGAAGCAGCAAGAAGTGGGGGGATGACAGAAGACGTGAGGGTGTAAGACTATTTATCGTACTACACTTTCAGTTCAGTTAAATTCAGTTTTATTTATGTAGCGTCTAGGCGCCTCGAGGCATTGTATATTGTAAGCTAAAGACCCTACAATATTAACCACGTCTGAATACAGTTTTACAAAATTAAAATTTAAACAGCCTGGGTGCTGATTGTATAAACTGTCATGAACACAATATCTAAATATCTTTCTAAGACACCCATACAGTTGCTGAAGATGTCAGCAGGAGCATGGATGTTTTTTTTTCTGAATCATCACAAAGTTTTAAACATAAACTTTGCCATTTGGTTCGACCAAAATGTGTATCCAGGATGTCTCTCTTCTCAGTAGCTATTTAATAATATACCTGTGAGTGGAAACAAACACATAGTGGGTTTTTTGTGTTAACTTAAAATGTTTAAGGCAACTTAAACATTTTGACATTACTGCTCATGGAATTTATAAGTTTTAAAAAGGTCCACATGTCCAGGCCTATTTTAAGTTTGCCACTGAACATCTAAAGGATTCAGAGAGGGCTTGGGAGAAAGTGTTGTCGTCAGATGAAAACAAAATCAAGCTCTTTGGCTCTTTGGAGGAAGAGAATTCCTGAGTGTGACCCAAAGAACATCATCCCTACAGTCGAGCACAGAGGTGGAAACATTATGCTTTGGGGTTGGTTTTCTGCTAAGGGTACAGGGCGACTTCCCCGCTTTGAGGGGCCAGTGTATCGTAAAGTCTTGAATGAGAACCGCCTATCCTCAGCCTCACTGAAGATCGGTTGTGGATGGGTCTTCCTGCATGACAGTAACCCAAAACATACTGCCAAACCAACAAAGGAGTGGCAAAAGAAGACGCATATTAAGGTCATGCAGTGGCCTACCCAGTCTAGAGACCTCAATCCTTCAGATAATCTGTGGAGAAGCTGAAGCTTCAAGTTGCTAGGTGGCAGTCAAGAACCAAAAAGTATTTAGAGGGTTTCTTTAAAGAGGAGAGGACCAAAGCCCTCCTGACATGTGTGCAAACCTGGAGACCAACAACAGTTTCTCCAACAAGTCATGTTTTGCTTGGTAATCAAATACTTATTTACTCCGTGACATACAAATCAATCTATAACTTATATGTCATGTGTTTTTTTCTGAATTTTAGTTTGATAATTTGTCTCTCTCCATTAATATGAAACTAGCAAGTTGGTAAAGGACATTTAACCAAATATTAATGGGAGTGTATATATACGTATTTCTGACCGTGTTGGATTTGAGTTCAAAATAAATTCAACTTGTGAACCAACTCTATAACATCCCAAATTTACCATGACATTCAAGCACATGATTTATAAATTTATGACCACAACTGTAAAATGTGATGAAATACTCCCTGGAACAGCATTTTAGTTTTGCTTTTTGACACTTTTTTCTTTTTGCCTTCTGTTGTCTTTTTCTGTAGAGCAAACTTTATCTGTCAGTCAGTTTTTAGACATGTGTTTTATCAATATAACAAGATCCACGTTTCCCTTTGCCGGAGGACAAAAAAATATTACAATAATAAAAGAAATAATAAAATGGACAAGATGAATCATAGCAAAACAAACATTTAATTATAACAGTTTAACTCTTTCTTCTCTCTCACTTCCTTTTGTCAGTCTGCAGGAGTTTGAGGCTGAATACCAGGAGCTGTGGGATTGGCTGATGGACATGGACGCCATGGTAACAGACAGTCATCAGCTGATGCTGTCAGAAGAGCAGAGACATCACCTCTTCAAGGTAAATAGTGTTACTTTCACCAACTCACAGTACATGTGAATAGACATGACACTTCTGCATCCAGTGCGACTGATGCTTCTTCCAAATATCCAGCCTGTGGGCGCTGGGCCATGAAGGAAAACTGTGCATTGAGATGAAATGTACCATGGTTGTTTCTGTGTATCAAACTACTGCCATGATGCTTCCCTTTACATTACAGTGTCCATAATAGTGTAACTAGGGGTAATCCTTTCAGAGAACTCATTGAAGTCTGCACCTTCTGTGGACTCTTTTGAGGTCTGCAACAATTGATATTCTTTATTTGATATTCTTAAGCAGACTTAATGTGCACATAAAACCTGCAAGTCTGGACTTTTCAGTTTGCATCGGAGGGACATGGCAACAAGTGTGTGACTTACTCTTCATAATCTGGTTGGAAAAAACAAGTAATCAAGTTACTGTCTGCCCTCACAGTGTACACATTTGTACCCAATTGATGCGTGATTGTGCTAGCAATGTAGTGTAAGTTATCAGTGTTAAACTGAACATGTGCCCTGTTGGAATAGAGTAGCCTTGTGCATTTTAAATCATTGTCAGCAAGAACTTAGTGATATAACAAAAAAACAGACATACTTAGAGATGAAGGCTATTGGTCAAAAAAAAAACAGCCTAAGAAGTAGGCTGCAGGCAGTGTTGGTCAAGTTACTTGAAAAAAGTAATCAGTAACTAATTACTGATTACTTCCCCAAAAAGTAATCCCGTTACTTTACTGATTACTTATTTTCAAAAGTAATTAATTATTTAGTTACTTAGTTACTTTTTAAAAACACGATTTACAACCTGAATAGGTGATGAAGTGATAGATCTCTCAGCCCAATTCTACTTTTTCTACATAATCCATCATACAAAATGTAATCAAATGGAAAAGTCTCTTTTTTTAACTTGTTTTATTAGTTTTAATCTTTTAACTTTATGCATCAAGCAAAAATAAAATTATATGCAACATTCTCTGACTTGAAAAAATTTGTTTAACATTTAAACCTATTTTCTGCACATTCCAGCACATAAAATAAAATAGGTTTTTGTGTTTACACTCAGTCTTTCAAATAGATGCAAGTAAAACACAGCAGAAAATAAATAAAGTCAAAGACTCAGCGGTCCTGTTGCTCTATTTTCACCTGTAAAGCAGGAATGGGGTAGGCGGAGGTTTACCCTGGTGCAGGTGTGCCGCGGTCAGTTGAAGAATCCGCGAGTTTCTCTGTGAGTTTCCCATTACGTCGTTGCGCACTCGGAGCTTGCTCGGAAGTTTAGGGTTTTTTTTCGCTGTAAAAAGAAGTTTTCTTCCCACGCACAACGGACGCTAATGTTTTTGTCACTTTTTATGGAATGAAACTCAAAGTAAGGTCAGTACTTCCACGCTTTAAACGCTGCACGCTCATACTCTCTCCCACAATCGATATGTGATCCATTGTTGATCTGCACACAGTTGTTGTCACCAACGGCGCACTCGCTTACGTCACTGTCGTGAGACATTCTCGCAAAAAATCAGGGTTTTAGTAACGCAGTAACGCAGCGTTACTACGGGAAAGTAACGGCAATCTAATTACCGTTTTTGCAACAGTTACTTGTAACGCGTTACTGCCCATCTCTGGCTGCAGGCATATACTGAAACATCAGTGCAGCTTCCAGGTCTGAAAAGCCAATGTACAAGTGCTTGGACTCTTTCATATGGCCGCAGGGTTGACTTCTCTGGTTCTAGAAGGAACTCTAATCGTATAGATGTCTATGGTCCTTCAGAGTCTTTGTTTAAGACCTCAGTAAACTAGAGTCTTTCAAGTTTTTCTGAATGCAACATGATGTTCAGTTTGTAAATGATGGTCCCATTAGTGTCAGAAAGGAGGATGAGTTAGGATGAGTTCACAAAACCTGATCTCACTAACTAATAGGCTGAGGCTACAGTTGCTACATCAATCTCAACAGCCAGTATGTTCATTTTAAGCTGATGCATTCAGCGATGTGCAAAGATTTTGTACAGTTTTTTATAGTATGATAAGATAGCTCACAACTGGCACAGCACGGTCCTATTATGACACTCTTGGATGCCTCAGTTTGGAGTCACTTTCTCATCTAGTTCAGCACACTCTGTGCTATAGATGTGACACGGAGGCACACAGCAAACTTCTAATAAGAGAAAAAGAATAAAAAATTAGACATAGTAAAGAATAAAAAATGAAATTCCCAAATATGCGATGAATAAGTAAAGTATTTCAAATTGTTTTGTATAATAAAAAACAGGAGGTGATGGAGATAAGGCACTATTGCAACTTTACCTGGCAAGAAAGACTTCACATGTTTCCAAACATTCACAAAGGGCCCATCGGCTGCTCTGCTTCCATCATGGAGGAGCAGCACTGACTTCAGTCTCAATATAAAAAGAAAACATGTAACTGTGTAGAAAATATAAGTATTTGAGGCAAATAATGCCCGCCCACTTTGGCTGGCTTCCTCTTTCCTGCCCTAATCCTCCCTCCACCTCAGATCTCCTTTTTCTAGCCAGGCACACACACAAACATACACCCGTCTTCATCCTCACCAAAGAGAATAGGATTACAAGGCATAGCCTCCCTCATAACCATATCATAGAGAAGGGTGTGTGTGACAGAGAGAGAGAGAGATTGTGTGTTTGTGTAATGACATCACTGCCACCAGATGAGTAACACAGAAGAACAGGATGTGTTACGATTAGAGATTTCTGAATTGCGCTCTTCTGTCCTTTAAATGCTTACAAACACACACAGGCGCGCGCACGCACACGAAAAGGGGAATCGAATAAAAATATACTTGTTCCTAAACTGTGTAACAGTTTAAAAAGTATAAGTAAGTCATATTTTGAGAGACAGTAAATGAAATAATGAGGTATGTGTGAGCTGGTGCCATGTGTGTACAATTCAGATTCACTCAATTGGCAGATGTTCATGAATCAATGTGTTAATTTCACTAGTGTCAGGTTGGAAATATTAAAAACGGTTGGGTGGATTAAAAATCGAGGCAAAAACTTTAGGTGGGTTTTTCCAAGGAGTGGAACCTTGTGGACCTAAATCCACTCCCAGTTCCAGTTTAATGCACTTCACAGTCTTTCCTGGGCTAGGCTCTACATTATCAGGCTTGACTAAATTTTTAACTTCACAGTCTCAGCTGTACAATATTCATGTCACAGTGCTCGTAGTGATTAATTATTTCATTTTAGTTCTCAGTTGGAGGTTAGGGGTATTTCTAACGGCAGTAATATTTCTCATTTGTGAAATACTGCCTATTGTCAAAAGAGCTTCTGTCACTGTGAGCTGCAACTAAATAAAGTATTGAAATGGATCTAAACTGGCTTATTTTATTTACAAACCACAGTAAACAAAAACCCCGGCTTATTCTGGCTAGATGCTAAATATTTGATCAGAGGGATTGGTGCAAAAAATACACTAAAAATAGGTACATGATAGTTCACATTGGACATAAAAGACCAATAACCAAAACAAAGCAGTGTTACTGGTGCTGGACATTTTAACATTTTGGAGTTAACGTGTGTGTCAACCATGCAACTGTACGCATGTATATTCATTAATGGTAATAGATAAACTGCGTGCACATACTCTGTTTTTGGAGATCAAACTGCTGACATCTCTTTCTCTTCTTACCCACAAGGCACTGCTGCGAACCAGCAGACATGTAACTTTGTGTTGTTTTCCACTCTTTTTCCCATCCTTCAAACGTCTGTGTGCGTGCGTGCAGACATGACTTATTTAGTGGCCGATGAGACTCACCTGGCCTGCAAATTATTGATAAGTGTAAAGATGAACCTAATTTCTCCATAGGAGTTGCACTTAAATATTCATCTCCATATGAATATTCATGGCAGCGATGATGCGTGCATGAATATTGGATGACTCTGGAATCGCTGGGCATTCTCTTCTTCTCCTTTCTCCCTCGTTCTTTCTTTTGTCTTTCTCTCTTTTTTTTCTTTTTTTTTGATGTGTCAACTCTACCGCTAAAATATTGATGCGGAGCTCAACAGCGTCTCCTCGCCCGGTCCAAGGTCGCTTTCTTATACTGTTTCTCTCCCTCTCCACCGCTGAGACTTACGGAGACAGGTCTACAGGCCTGTATACTGTAAGCTGCTCATATAGGGCTTTTGTATCTTATATAGGTTGTTGTGCTGTGTTCAAACTGTAAAAATACCATGACAGTGAATCCACTGCATTCATGTAGCAGTTATAAAATGCGCTTGTGCCCCAACAACTTTGTATCCTTGTATTTTCCTTGTATATTTATGGCTGTAGATAGCACTGTCTTTCATTTACCTGAATTTCTGCATTTAAACAAAGCATTTTCTCATTAAAGTGTTCAATTAAAATCATTACTGGTGTAATCAAACCCCTACCGAAGGGATTAGTCATTCATCTGAGTAATAGATGGGCATTAATGGCAAAAATTTCGGTGTTTTCTGCTTTCCAACCTGGGGATTTGTTGCTTATGACTGTTTTATAGTACTCTGATTTGCTGTCTTTGGGTGCTGAAATACTGATCAAATAAATAAATGATGAATTGAAAAGAAACAGAGAATGATAAAGGCAATTTGAAAATATTAATTAACTGCAACTTTCTAAATATTGTTACGTTCCCCTGAGGGGTCTAGGCGGGGAGGGGGAAGTAACAAAAGTGACCGGGTCAGAAAAAGGAGTCAGGGAGGCAA